AGAGAGAGAGAGAACCTCTAGCGGTTATACATCAATTAGGAAAGTGGCTTCATAGTTCCCACATAAAACAAACTGAAGTTTCTTTATGTTGTGTTCAAAATATTACCATGGTGAGTGTGATCATTCACAAAATGTAACCAAATACCACAGAAGTAGTTTATGTTTTAGAAGAACAGTATGATCGCACATAGGTGGCAATTTCACACTCTAGCTCATGTTCTAAAAATTGTTTTACAAGGGGTGAAGTAGGTGACACAACACAGCATGCCATGGGAATAGAGTGTCAACATGTCATACACATACCTTTAAATAGAACACTCATTCTAGTTAAATGTGTTTGATGGGTGGGAGTCTCCTACAAGTGAATATCTTATATAGTACATGTATAAACAGGTCGTTCCACATTTCATGATACCACTGAAAAATTATTTTGAGCAGCATACGGCAATTTAATAAAACGTAGAAAGTGCATATCAGCAAGTACAATAAGTGGTGTTCAGTAAGTCTCTATTCACACATTTTTACCTGCAAAACATGAAGAGCAATGCATTCCTATGGGGCTCGTTCACGCCTGCCCATTCGTACGTGTGCGCAAAAAACGCACAACGTGGGAAAAAGTACATGCGCAATTTTCTTGCCGATACCAGCATTCTGTCCCCAACAGACTGTAGTGTAGCCACAGACACGTGCAAAACTGTGCATCTTTTATAAATTCTGCGTTTAAACGCGTCCAAAAACATGCAGAAATTGCAAGTACCTTGGTGTAGACATGTGCACTGGCAAAAAATTTGTTTAATTTCGTTTCATTTTGATTCAGATTTTGTGTTATTTCGTTTTTCGGGATTCGTGGGGGGGAAGTCAATTCAGATTCAGAATTCGGATGAAATTCGTTAGCGGTAGTTCGTTCGTACAGTTTCTTATCGTTTCATTCATCTGTTTGTTCGTTCCAGCAAAGTGACATTTGAGGGGGGAAAATGTTTTTCTCCTTCTCTAATGTCACTTTGCTGCAACGAATGAAACGAATAAGAAACAAAAACAAAACGACCGTTCGAACGAACTACTGCTAATGAATTTCGGAAACGGAAATTTGGATTTGTTTGCATTTGTTATAGCTGTAATGCGGATACATCCGAAGGTCCGAATTTCCAAAAATTCATCCGAATTTTGTTTCAGAACTAAACGAATCACACATGTCTACCTTGGTGTGAATGGAGGCTTAGTAAAGTGTAACTCAGTCACTTTGGTTCCCCAGTTTGACCATTTGAAAGTCCTACTTCAGGCAGATTCTGGGACCCTTTGCCTACATCATATACATAAGCATGCATTATGTTGCACATTAACATTTGTTGCATTAAAACCGCCTATTAATTTGAATAGGTTGCCGAATGCATCAAAATACACCATTCAGAGTGAATAGCACCACAGCGCAACAAAGCGTTTGTCGCACACTGCTGGAAAGCACAAAAATGTGAAACCGCCTTTACAGTACAACTAAACCCTCACAACTAAGCCAATTTAATCCCCACCTAAAAAGTGGATACTAGATGCCTCAACATGTAACAAAAGGTTATACGTAACCGTTCACCAACCCCTGAGTGATGTTTTCACTGTATATGCAGCATAGCCATAAACAACTGTGCTACATCTCTCCAGTAGCTTCTAGCACTGGAATGCAGGACTCTCACTCCATGCTTCTGATCCATGACAAAGAATATAGACACATTTGTGTAGGGTTTTTTTTTTTAAAGAGGAAAAGTTGAACATTAATATTTCTCTTGCAAACAGTCCAAGAGACATCAGCGAAAGATGACTTTTGATTAGATGTTTTGGGCCCTCACACCTAACCATTGATCTTCACAAAGTTAAAAAAGAAAAAAGTGTGTTTCTATGCAAAGTAAGTTCTATTAATTCTGCACAGCACTGTATGGTCTATAGCAGGGGTAGCCAAACTCCGGCCCTCTTGCTGTGGTGAAACTACATATCCCATGATGCATCTCTCTCCGGAGACATGTATGTGGCTTTGATAATCTTGCAATGCCTCATGGGATTTGTAGTTCCACCACAGCTGGAGGGCTGGAGTTTGGCTACCCCTGGTCTATAGGATTATTTCAAATATACAACTAACTACTGGCTTTGATTGAAATGTTTCCAATCTAGTTTAGAGGTAGAGTATAGTTATATTTTCTTGTGGAGAACATCAGAGTTCTAACATTTTATGCACAAATATCACTCTGCTAAAGAATGGTAAGTACTCTATAACTTTGTCAAAGTCACTTTCTTGCATCCTAAAGCAATGATATACATCAAGAGCTTTTGAATAGTTTGCAATCATCAATTTTGCACTACAAATACAGGCTCATATGCAAAGGGACTAAAATACCTTTACACCAGTCCTCTGTTTGCTTAATCTATGACCTCATGTCCCTCTGTGGGACCGAGCAGAACAGACAAATAGTTAAAAAAGTAGAAAAAAAATAGAAAACAATTGGGAGGAGCTAGCAGTGACAGCTAGCTATGCCCAACTGTTTTCTATTGGCCGGGCGGTTCTGCTGCCGTCAAAAAAAAACATTTTCGCCATAGGAATGCATTGCTAGATTCCTATTGGCTATTTCAATTTGCAATAGCCAATAGCAAACTAGCTATTGCACCCGCCCTGCTGCTGTCAATCACTAGTGGGAACCTGATGGAGAACTAATTGACAGCAGCGTTGCAATAGCTAGTTTGTTATTGGCTATTGCAAATTGAAATAGCCAATAGGAATCTAGCAATGCATTCCTATGGTGAAAATATTTAATTTTTTTTATTCTGACGACAGCCAACGGCTCGATGTCAGAATAAAAAAAAAAGCATTGTTTCTCTCCTGGGCGGCCGGAAGCGGGAGACTCCCAGAGCGCCCGGGAGAGTTGGGCTGTCTGGAGATCAGTGACCCTGGTTAGCTGGTAACCAGGGACGCTGACCTCTCTGCAAGTGACCAGAGCCAGCCGTAAGATCACGGCTGGCTCCGCCCAGCTGTCAGAAGCAGGCTGTCTCGGCCAGCTTCGGCTTTCACCTTGGCTCAGTCGAGCCGAAGCATATGCCTTTCGGCTC